TAGGAATTCTTGATGACTATCTATCTACTAAGTCACAGAGGGGACATGAGCTATATCAATGGAGGACACCCTCACACAGAGAAAATCACAGATCCCTGGAGTAAATATTAAAAACTTAGGTCATGGAATTGATTCTCTGGGCTCACTCCTCTGAGTCCCTCTGGACTTGCTCTTCCCCCAACTCATACCTCTAGAATGGGTCCCCAGAGGAGTCACTGTTCCTAGTTTCAGGGGTCTCGGGGGTAACCCTGTTAGTGGCTATCTCCTTAACCAACAAGCTCATAAGCCTCACAAGTGTGTGCTTCCCCTTAACAATCAACCAATAAACTCAGTGCTTTAGCAAAGGCATTTATTCAAATGGTATATAGCACGAACAATAGTTAGAATGCTTTTACCCACAAGTTTGAACTGGAGCGGGATGGGGGAGATGAAACAAAATACAATAGTAGTAAGACATACATTTAGGAAATATACCTGGCCAAAGTGACTTACAACTCCAGAACTGCAGGGCATCTACAACCATTTATTTTTCTGTGTAGAGTCTTCATAACATTCCTTTTAAGGTATAATATCAGTCAAGGATGAGTTACTCCACTGCTACACTATTCTGATTCCTTGTCAATCACACTGTCATTTTGGGGGGACCAGGGGTAGACCTGGCTGGACTTAATCCACATAACACATGGCATCTTGGCAGAAGGGGTCAATCCACTGCTAGGCTAGGTCAAGCCATTGCTCAACTGCTGAGTTAGCTCCTCCCTGTACTTGGCCGTGGCTGGGCTCGTTCAGGCAGATCATGGAGTCATTGGTCTGCTATTACCCAACAGGGCCAGCCAGGTCTCTTGGTGGCTAGGTATCTGCTGCCAGACAGGGCTGGACAGGCCACTCTGCTGCTGGACAAGGGCAGACAGACTGCTCTGCCACTGATCAATGATTTCTGCAGTTGTGTGGGCAGGTTACTCAGTCTCTATGCTCTTCTCAGGTTGTTGCATCTATGTTGGATGAGTCAATCCAATGGACTCCTTTGGGCTTTTTGATAACAAACTGCAGTCTTTCCCCACTTTCAGGCATTGGCTTGCCTAGTTAGTACTGTACCATCTTCAGTCAGAGTGTTACAATGCTCTTTTCAGACAAGCCACACTGATTCTTAGCATAGGACTGGAAGAGAAGATTCTCTTTGATTCTCTCAGGGCCTCAAAGAGATAGGAGAGGTCCAGACTCTCCTTAGACAATTCTTCCTAATTCTGGGTCAGTTTCCTCAGCCAGAAACTCTTTCTTGGTTTTTGATGATTAATCCTGATTCAGCTATTTACACTTCCCAGACTACTCTTGGAGCCTTACTCAGATGAACTGTTAAGATTATCGCATACAAAATACGAAAGTACTCTTAGAGGCAAGTTTACAAGTTAGCTGTCTTCACATGACATTGAGCTACTGAAGCTTTCTAAGGTGTAGACTGTTTGTTTTGCAGCTGAAGGCCTTCCTCTTTACATGTCAATGTCTATCTTCTGCAACCTTTGGTTTTGTTCAAGTCCAAATGAACAAATCCTCATAGGATCATAGACTTATAGAATTGGAGCTGTCCTCTGAGGTCATCAAGTCTATACTCATTTCACAAAAGAAGAAACTAAGTCTCTTAGAGGTGAAATGTCTTATCCAAAGTCAAAGACAGATTTTGGACCCAAGTCTTCCTTAGTTCAGAGAAATCAATAACAACTTTAACCCTGAATATCTGACAAAGATACCCAGTCTTGTCTTAAAGAAGGATTATCCTTCATTTCCCCAGCACCGCGATCAAAGCAAGAGGGGCTGGGGATTGTATTCCTCTCCTCTCTGGGAACCTTAGATAATTTGCATGGGAGAGGTAGGGCAAAGAATACATTTATGTTATGGCAGAAATCAACTTAAATGAATGAATGAAAAAGTATTTATTATTTACTGTGTGCAAATTATCATACTAAACTGTAGGAATACAGAAGCAAGATAGCACCTGATCTCCAAGAGTTCACAATCTAACAGAGGAATAAACTTGTGCAAACCCACAGAACTTAAGAGCTGAAAGTTATTCTAGAAGTAATCTAGTCCAGCCAGTTTACAGATGAAGAAACTGAGGCTCAGAAAAGTAAAATGACCTTGCCCAAGGCATATAGTTAAACATTGGGCTAGATTCTTTTGTTTGCTTTTAGTTTAATTTTATTATTCTCCCCAATTATCAGACATTTATTTTTTCTCCTTCCCATTTGCCTCCATTGAACACTTAAAAAAAAGATAACCTTCATAACAAATATGCACAGTAAAACAAAACAAATTCTCATATCATCCATATCCAAAATGTCTGTCTCATTCTCTATTTTGAATCTATGACCTCTCTGTTAAGAAGTGGATAACTTGCTTCATCTTTGATCCTCAGGAATCATGGCTTTTCATTGTATGAATAAGAGTTCTACAGTTATTTGAAATTGTATTTTAATAATTTCTAAGTGTTATATGTTGTTCTCCTAGTTCTGCTCACTTCACTCTGCATCAGTTCATAAAGGTCTGAGCATTCCCTACTGGAACTGTCCATTTTATCATTTCATAAGGTGCAATAATATTCCATTGCATTCCTATATCATAATTTGTTGAGCCACTCTCCAATTGGTTAGACACTTCTTTGGTTTCCAGTTTTTTTGCTACTACAAAAAGAGCTGCTATAAACATTTTTATACATATCAGCCCTTTTATTTTTGGGGACCTCCTTGGGGTACAAATTGGGCTGAGGTTGAGTTCCAAACTGCTTTCCAGAAAGGCAGGACTAATGCACAGCTCCATCAACACTGTGTAACTGAGCCTGTTTTTCTACAGCATGGGGCTAGATAAAAAGAGTATTGATTCCTAGGGTAAATCAGGCACAGAGTATTGACTAGGTATTATTAAATGCAAGTTTGTGATAAAATCACAATGGCTCCAAAGAAATATATGAAATACAAGAGTTACTCTCTTCATCGAGTCACAGTTACTCATACTCATATTTAGCGATCCAGGACACGTAACAGTGATAATTGAATATAGACTGTCTTTACTCAAATGTCTATTTCTTGATTAAGTTAATTCTATGGAAGGTCCATGACTGAATGGACCCAAATTCTCATTACAGAGTATAGTCCACATTAGTATCATACTGCTTGGACCAACTAATTTATTCATTCACTCAATTATTCACTCAATAAACATTTGTTAAACACCTCCTATATGCCAGGCACTGTGCTAAGCACTGGGGATACAAAAAAAAAATGCAAAAGATAGTTCCTGTTCTCAAGAAGTTTACAACCTAGTAGGGGAGACCGAATAACTAAGATTAAGTCACAGAAGTAAAAGCCTTTTGAAAAATGAAAGGCCAGGTACTTATACAATGTGGCATTGCCCTCTGGCTATAAGGAGGAAGTATTGTGAACACCAGTTTAAGCTATAACAACCAGTAGAGAAAAAAAAAGCAAACTCATGTGTTTCTTTAGGATAATGGTCTTACAAAATGGGAGTCATGATATAACCACAGTGGGTAAGTGATGAACCAACTGGGGGGAGGGAAGGTGGGTCACATCCAAGGGTGTGCTGGAAACAGCTCAAACCAGCTCCTTTAGCAGCACCACTACTTCCTTTTTGTCTTTTCATCATCATTATCAACTGAATGGGGACTTAAATGCTTGTTGAATTCTAGAATGGGTTGTTTTCATGTAGTCAGGACAACATACATCATTGACCAAGACTAAGCATTTCATATAAATGCTATTCAAATGTTCACCAATATAATTATTAGTAATTCATAGCTAATATTCACATTCAGAGAAGGTGCTGTGCTCACTGAGCAAAGCAGAATTGAAGTAGATCAAAAGAAACACAAGATGAACAGATTTAGAGGATCCATCCCAAATGTTCACATGGACTATTTGTGCCCAACCTATGGTAGAGCATTCCAAGCTCATATTGGTCTGATCAGCCACAGTCGGATACCTTGTAACTTGACTCTAGCTAGCATAGTGATGCCATTTTGGTCCTCTCTGAGAATGGGCAACAACCAATCAACCAACATGCATGTAAAAGATTAAATAATAAGCTAAGTTATGAATGATTACAACTTTTGGGAAGATTCCAACCACATCTCAAAGGAAATTATATGATTGTGCTAATTCTCCAAGCCAAGAAACATCACTGAGATCAAATCAATCAAAGATCTCCTACAGGAAGAAGGAACTTCAGAAATCATATTTTACAAATGAGGAAACTGAGGCCCAGGGAGGTTAAGTGATAAGGTCATACAAGTAGTGTACAGCAGAGGTAGGTCCTGTGATTCTACAACCAAGGCTATTTCCTCCTCCAATCAATCATTCGATCAATCAACAAGCACTGATGGTTAAATGTTTACTTTGTTCCAGGCACTGCACAAAGTCCTACAGTCAAAAAGAAAGGAAAAACAGTCCCTGACCTCAAGGAGTTCACATTCTAATTAAAGAGACAATAGGCACATACTAAGGTATATACAAACTACAGACTGAGTAAGTAAATAGTAATTTCAGATGGGAAGGCTCTGGAACAGTGATTTTTGACCTTTTGTGTGTCATGGACCCCTCTGACAGTATGATGAAACCTATTGGCCCATTGTCAAAGTAATGCTTAAAAGCAGTAAAATAAAATATTTATCTAACAATGATGATCAACAGACAGCTTTTTACATAACACTTTCCCCATAGGATTCATTTTGATCAACTTGAAGCAAGGCAACATCTCTGGATTTGGGGATATTGTTTTCCTTCTCCCCCAAAGCTCCTCACTTAGGCTGAATAAAGCCAATGGAATGCAAAATCTGGATTTCACAAAGATGGAACCACCTTCACTGTTCTCACTTGAAGGTAATCCTGACCACAGTTTTAATATTTACTGTAAATCTGTGAAATTGTTAACGCTTAATTAACAGGTTTAACAGGCATCCCTAAAATGCTTCTAAAAAGCTAACTTTCAATTACCTTTCCAAAATCCCGAACATCAAACAAGTCAAAGGCCTCGAAGAGTTCACTTTTCCTCATCCCAAATGTCTCACAACAAGCTGTTAGGAAGGTTCTTATGTTCTTCAGGCACAGAAACTGAGAGAGAGAAAGAGAGAGAAAAGATTATTAGTGTACAATAATCATGAGTTCACACCCCTACTCAGATTTTCCTTTTTGCCAACTCACACATTGGTGGAGCCAGAATTCATTTCTAGATATTCATGAGCCCATCAACAGCCCACTTTTTGAAAATAAACATGAGATTTTACAGAAGCTAGAATTGTAGCATCCTGAAAGAATGTAGGCATCTCTAGTAAGCAAGCGGGGTATTATCTGTTTAATGTCATGGTGGGACTGGTTTTTAATAAACGGCTTTCTAAAAGGCATCTAGCATGCTCATCCTTAGTTCCCTCCAACACACACACACATAAACACACACAAACACACACACACACATATACACACACACTGTGATGCTCCTTACAGGGATCCCACTAGATGCCTGTCATGGTAGTGAAAGCCATGTGGGAGGAGTGCTGATAAACACTGTGTAGCAGCCAGGCAACCAATAAAACTACATACAGGGACTGTTTTCACTTTTTAAAAATTCATGAGAGGCCTTTACTACACAGGCTTATCTGCATGCAGGTCCTCAGCATGGAATTGCTTATTTACAGATTAAAAGCCCCACATTCTGCCAAGACAGACAATAATTACACTCTTGGGGATTGGACAGCTACAGTCTTGCAATATTTTTGACGTAATTAAGTGCCCAGTTCATAACTCACCCAAGAGCCGAACATAATTGCATAGTACAGGAAGCACCCATGAAAGCCTCCCATTACACACATTCAGATTTCTCCTTGTAGAGGGAAAAATCTGGTTCACTCACAAAATTGTTTGGCTCATTTTTTGAAGTGTTTTCATCAAAAGTAGATTTAGCATATAGAACAGACATGCCCACTATACTTATAAGAGAGAGGTATTAAAAACTAGGCATCTGATCACTGCTGAAAGCTATTTCTAACTTCTCTGAGCCACAGGCAATGCGCAAGGATTTATTTGCTAAGTAATGTCAATAGATTGGCCGAGATCTGTATTCTAGAGAGTGTTCCCACACCAGTGAAATCATAATTCCTTGATGTGTTAGCATCCCTGGTTTATTCCTGAGCGCTTTTGCAACACTCTTCTGGGAAGTCTATAAAACAGGGTCTTTTTCTCTCCATTCAGCTGCTCTGAGACCAGTCACAGATCTCCTAGATTTAGAACCGGTTAGAAATGGTGCTCAAGTACATTTTAGCTCCATGCAGAGTGACCTTGCTTCATTTGTTCATTCTCAAGAGCACAAACAAAGTATTAATTTGCTTAGGTAACATTTATCTGTGATGAATGTAAGCTTCTTGAGGTCAAAGACTATTTCGTTTTTGTATCTCCAATGCCTGTTGTGGCTCTTGGCACGTAGTAGGCATTTCGTGGATATTTGTTGAATTGTTGTTAGGTTATTTTCACTACAAATTTTTTTAAATTTTATTTTTAATTTATGGAATGAAACAAGCATTTCTAAAACACAGTATAATTAAAAAAAAAGATGACTGCACATGAAACCGCAAATCTATTATGTACAACTTGCTATTTTAAAAAATATATATAATAAAGTTATCATGTAAATTTCTCTTTTTTTCTTCCCTCCTTCTCTCCTGCCCCCCTCCCTAGAGATGATCCTGATCTACGCCTTCACTATCACTAACGTGCAGCATTGCAATAGTCCACACCATAGTAAAATTGGTATTTCTAAAGCATAGATCCAACTATGTCACTGCTCTGCATACAACGTTTCATTTATTACTCTCTGTTGCTTCAAGGATAAAATACACACTTCTGTTTGGGGTTTAAAACCCTTCATAGCTTTAGTTTAGCTTTCCAGGATGATTAAGTAATGCACCTTCTCGTGCATTCCACAATCTAGCTAAACTGACCTAAGTGTTGTCCCCTAAAGTGTCTTTGCCCAAAAATTCACCTCCCTTTAGAATTTCTCTTTTCTGTTGATCAGTTTTTTCAGTCCTGTCTGACTCTTCATGACGCCAGCTGGGGTTTTCTTGGCAAAGATAATGGAGTAGTGTGCCACTTCCTTCTCCAGTTCATTTTACATGTGAGGAAATTGAGGCAATGAGGGTTAAGTGACTTGCCCAGGGTCACACAGTTAATACATGTCTGAGGCCAGATTTGAACTCAAGAAGATACGTCTTCCTGACTCTAGGCCCAGCACTCTGTCCATTACACCATCTACCTGCCCTTTTTCTGTAGAGGTCACTAAAATCCTTCTAGCAGTCATGCAGAGTCACAAGTTAATAGTATCCTTGAATTCTCACTTTTCTTATCCCATATACCAAACAGGTTACTAGTTCTCATCATTTCCAGCTCCACAACGTATCCCCCCTCCATTCTCTTGTCTTGATACACATGGTCACAGCCTTTGTTCAGTTGAGTCAAATCAATGAGCATTTATTAAGCACTTACCACATGCCAGGCACTGTGCTAAGTTCTGGGGCTACAAAGAAAGACAAAAACACAGTCCCTGCCTGCAAGGATCTCACATTCTTACAGCATGTAAAAAAAATTATAACTGCAAGACACATACAGCATAAATGAAAAGTAGTCTCAGAGGAAACACACTACCATTAGGGAAGACCAAGAAAGACCTCCTGTAGAAGATGTTAGGTAAGCTGATTCTTGAAGAAAACCAAGAGGTGGTCATGAGGAAAGAGAACATTGCAGGTGTGGGTTAGAGACAGTGAAAAGATGAGGAGTCAATGGGTAGAGTTTTGTGTGTGAGCAGTAACAAATAGACCAGAGTACCTGGACCATAAAGTACATGGAGGCGTCTGAATGATGTGAGATGAGGAAGATGGGAGAAGGGAGCGCTCTCAATAAATTGCCTCAATTTTTTCAGTGAAATATATTACAAGGTCCTCAGCTGAGAGGTTGTGGGAAGAGAGAGGCTTGGGAGATTTGTGGAAGAATGGAAAGATCTGGAAAAGCTGTTCTGGTAAGTAGGATGAAAAAAAAATCCATTAGATGTAAAAGCATTACCTTGCTGCAGTGAGGGTCCAGTTGAGATTATGTAATGTAAACTCATAGCGGACCCAGTGAGCACGAATTTCTTCAGTTGCATTAAGCAGTACATGAATAGGAGTGAGGGAAGGAATAATACTAGTTTTGGAGTCTGGCAAGATATGATCAGCAACAGGACAAGGCCATCATCTCATCTCACCTGCACCGCTAAAATAGCCTGCTAATTAGGCTCCATCCAAATCCATCCTCCATGCACCTGCTAAAGGGATTTTCCTAAAGTGCAATTCTATCCGTGTACTTCTCCCATTCAATAAACAGCAATGTCTCCTTCTTGCTCCTAGGATCAAATAAAGCTTCTTTGTTTAGCTTTTAAAGTCCTTCATAACCAGGCTCCAACTTACCTTCCCAGCCTAATTATAGATTACTCCCTTTCTCATACACTATGGTAAAGGCAACCTGGGCTTTTTACTGTTTCTCATACAGCATCCTCCATCTCTCAATTCTAACTTTATACTGACTGTCTCCTTTGCCTGAAATACACTAACAACCCCCCTTTCTCAAAAAATATTTACCTTGTATATATGATGTATATGTTTATTAATGTACATGTTGTTCTTTCAACAGAATGTAAGTTCCTCAAGGAAACGGACTTTTTTTTTGCCTGTTTACCTCCAACACCCAATATTGTACTTGACATATTGTAGATGCTTAATGCTTGTTGATTAATTGACATTACTTCATCTTCTACTTGTGTGCCTTTGCAAAGGCTACATGTCATGCCTGCAATGCTCTCCCCCCTCACCTCCACCTACTGGAACTCCCCACTCCCTCCAATGCTTAACTCAAGGTCCAACTCCATTTAAGAGGTCTTTCCTGATTTGCCCAGTTGAGTGGCATTTGCCTGAAATCATTCAATATTTATTTTACATATATCCTCTTTTTACCTATATGTAAACATGGTATATCACGCCAGTAGAATGTAAACTCTTTGAGGGTAGAAGTTATCTCATTTTTTATTTGCTTCTCTAGTTCAGTGTATGACATGTAGTAGGTGCTGGATAAATGCTTATCCACTGACATAAACAATAAGAGAAAATGAGGCAGTGATAAAGTCTAGCGAATGTCCACCTTAGAAAAATTAAGAGATCAGAAACTCTCCTGGAGCATTAGGGGCACAGTCCTCTAAATGGGGTCTGACCAGGGCAGAACCCAGCAGAACTGTCACCTCCTTCATCTTGTAGACCAACTTCAGCACATTTTTAGTGCCCATGTCACATTGTTGACTCATACTAAATTTGCAATCCACTGAAAATCCAATCACATGGCCTGTTCGCAAGCAAGGGCTTCCTCTTCCTGGATCAGGAATAGCAGCAGTTGTTGGGGCTGCTAACATTAGCAAAGCATGTTATAGTTTGCAAGGCTTTTATATACTGTTGTTGGTTCAGTCATTTCAGTTGTGTCTGACTCTTCATGACCCCATTTGGGGTTTTCTTGGCAAAGATACTGGAGGGGTTTGCCATTTCCTTCTCCAGCTCATTTTACAGATGGGGAAACTGAGCAAACAGAGTTAAGTGACTTGCCCAGGGTCACAGAGCTACTAAGTGTCTGAGGCCAGATTTGAACTCAGGAAGATGAGTCTTCCTCATTCCAAGCCCAGTACTCTATCCACTGAGCCACCTAGCTGCCTTTTATATGCACCAGCTCTTGAATTTAAGCACCTGAATCTCCATGGGGAAGTTTACATTTTTCCTAATTAGATTCCACATCATTCAATTTCTCCCCTGCTCCACCATCTTGAGATCCTGTGAGGACCTAGTTCTACCATGCTGCATGTTAGCTATCTCTCAAGCTTTGTGTCATTAACAAATTTAACAGAAATATCATCAATATCTTCATGGAAGCTATTAATAAAAACTGGACAGCACGAGACTGATGACAAACATCTACAGCATCCAACTGGACAAAAATTTTGGTCTTGTGTCAAGAAGATAATTCTTAACAATCAGAGCTATTCAAAACTGCAA